GAGAGAGAGAGAGAGGGAGATTTTTTTAAAAAATGTATAAGGGAAGCAATGAAGTCTTCCCCTCTCATCTATTGTGTTTTAACCTCGACTTTTTTCCTTCGTCAGCGTTTTCATCATTTCTGGTGAAAGGGAAGGTGAGAATTACCATTAGAGATCTACTCCTTTGAGCTCAAAGTCCCTTTCTTACCACAGACGTAAAGTGATGTGATACCAGGATATTCAGAGTACCGTAATATTCAAGAGTATCAGTTAATCTGTTATCTTTTACAAAAGAACTGACTGCAAAATGAATAAATATGCCTTTGAATTTGACTTGGTATCATACTACAGGTACAAGAAATATCAAAATTTGAATTTGATTTGGGTCGGATATATTTTTCTATTTCCAAATACTCTATAATTTGTAGTAAAGGCTGCTAAATTAAACGTTAACAATAATACAGTAACATATTAACAACGGTGTGGAGGCTATTTTTATTGATTACTGTCTGAACGATTCCTTGTCGTCCTTGAAACGTATTATTATCTCTGTGAAGATAGAAAGAATATTTTCTGTTTGAAGTGAAACGAGGAATCAAATGCAATGCTATGTACGTTCATGCTGACTGGTGCTGACATCACGACTCTGTTCTTTATCTTCCCCATCTCGGATGGCGTAATGCACAATGTGTAGAAAACCATACTTACTTCCCGAGAGGTCATTAGGTGTAGATAGTATCGATAGCAACTGCGATGTCATTGCACGTCATGGCATGCTGTATAGGGGCACTTGGATAGAAAAAGAATCCGTACGTATTTTGCGTACCAAAAAGAAGTTTCAAATTTATTCCGATTAGATCTAGGAACATTCCGCAGCATGAATGTTTGGGGTATATTATTATTACTTTTGTTTCGTTTTTTGTCTTGTTCTTTATTGCTTTTATTGTGTTAGATTTCAGATGTTGATGATCTCAACTTCTGTATAACATACTACTACTTAAGATAGAAACGAGTCGATCACTATCTAGATCTAATCTCCATAGTCAATAGTCACTGATCAGTACAATCAACCCTCGTGACTCGTAGCTTTGAGAGCATCAACTACTACTTTTACTACTGCTACAACAACAACAACAACAACAACAACAACAACAACAACAACAACAACAACAACAACAACAACAGCACCAACAATAATAACAACAACAACTACTACTTCTACCACAACCACTACCACTACCACTACCACTACCCGTGTTGCTGCTGCTATACTTAGCTAGTGGTTCTGCTTCTACCACGGCTTAATAATATGCTGCTATCACTGTTACTCTCGTTACAGTATTTATTTCTCCGTTGATAACACCAAAGAAGACAAGGGTGTCTTATTCAACGTAACGGATTAGCTGTGCTGAAATTCTCATACCGTTCCGTCGGTGTAGGAGAGAATCCGAGTAACTTTATGACAACTGGTGTCACTTTTACTTGTTTTGGATCTTTTGACGGGAGCTAGAAATTAAAATGCAATATTGTGTCATAATGGAAAAGTATGATTCATCTATGTACAGGATTTATACCTTCAGTGGGGAATAATTTTACCGAGAAATCTGTACATTCGTCACCTCGCATAAGTATTTTACAAGAGGCAACAAACTTATAATCACAATGACAATTTAATATAAGAAAGAGTGCATGTTTTTTCGAGCCTCTAGTATTATAAAGGCCTTTGTTGGTTGTGCAGCTTGCTTGGGACACATGATATTCATGAATACCAAACTAATGTTACCTTGACCGACCCGTCGTGGTCATGTCCAATGGGATTTCCATGGTAGACATGTCCAGGCACAGAATTCGCTTGACAGATGGCACACTCTATTATTATGCATCAAAATTTTCTTTACGCAAAACGTAAAGGTTCTTTTAGATACCCAAAAGCTGGTCGTTTCAACGGTGGGGAGCTGGGTCACCCGTCGGGTCAACGGGAGAAGGAGGGAGGAGGAGGAGGAGGAGGAG